ATGGGGACCAAGGATGTCGGGCAGCCTCCTCAAAGCCTCACCCATCCCTGGGGATGAGGGACACCCATCCAGCACCATGAAAACCTTCCTTGATGGGCAGGAGTGCTGATAGCTTCTCTACTTAAGAAGCAAAGGGTGATAGGTTATAGATGTTAAAATGCAGAGATAATTAACGTCCTGAAGAGAAAAAAATCAACACAGATCAAAAGTTCTTGCAGCACACAGTGGGCGAACCAGAACAGAGTAATTGCTGCACTTCTAAGTGTGTCATGTGTGAATAAGATCCTGACAAGGACAGGGGCCTGCTGAGGTGCAGCCTTCCTTTATAGAAGCCCAGAATTTAGTATCATCAGCACCCCTACTGGCAGGCATCCTTTTTGGTTGTTTTTCCTAGACTCATTCGATTGTTTTAAATATTCAAGTAATAATGAGGTCAGTTCTTATGAAAAGTTGCAAAGCATAAAGTTTTTCATAAATCCTTTACAAGAGAGATTGGTTATCACTCTCTATATGAACACACACGCATGCATATCCCTGTTCTGAAGCAGTACTGGGTACTGCTAGCTGTTGAGAATACAAACCTTACGATCAGACTATGGGGATAGTTTTGCCAGCTGTGAGACCTTGGGGTGAGCTCCTTAACCTCTCTGTGCCCTCTCCTCACCTGGAATGGAGAGATAATGGTGCCTACCTTATGGGGTTATTAGAAGGATTAGATGGATTAACACATGTAAGGCACTTAAAACAGTGTCTGGCACACAGCCAGAATAATCTTTTGAATTCATTGACTCTTTCTGCAGTGTTCTGAGTATTTCAAGTTCCCGATGCTGTTACTTGTCATCCAGAACAAGTGTCTCGATTTTTCTAATTTCTTCCACACACTCTCAAGGAAGGAGACTTTGAGGTAGCAAAGTCTGGTTGTGGGGAAGGGTGAGGGTTTGGAAAGTGCTGGGAGCAGTGAGGGGGTCACCTGGGACTCTCAAACAGAAGTTCCTTTTGCACAGGGGAGGCAGAGCAGATAGAGAATTCCAGGCTTTGCTATCCTGGAGTGTTGCAAGGAGAAAGACCTCCAACAGGGATTGCCTGCAAGTTTTTTTTATAAATGGTTTTGAGCTTGACTAACCACATAGGAATTGGTGTTTTCTTTGCAGATTGGATAAAAATAAATAAATAAAGCACCAAAAGCCTTAAGGCAAATAAAAATCCCACGGCTCCGGGGGCCTTTTGTCAAATGATCCCACATTTTCACCTGATGCATCAGGACACATGCCTCTGACTTCTGCTCAACATATTATGTACCTAAGACAAATTACAAGATGTAGCCTGTCACAGATGCCAGAATTAAGCCTGCTCTGCACGTGTCACCAGTAATTGCCATTGCAGATTACTGCTTCAGTTCTACTTTGTCCTGAGGATGCTCCAGCTCTGTGCTTCCAATCAAAGGAGAGCACAGTTCAGAGCCTGAAGGACAGGAAACCTTGACAGACTCCTCGAACTGTCAACACAGCCCTACTGCATTGCAGAGCTGCTACGCTGCATTCTGGGATCCGTGGGGGTCACTGCCCATTAATATTGAACTTGACTTTGTAATCTGGTTCTTTCAGGGGACTGGCTTTCCATCTCAAACAAAACAAACAGGCTTCCATATGAATATTCATCCACCATGTCTGGAGTTCATCATGTAAGTCACCTTTAGCAATCTCATATCTGGAAACTGCCTCTTCTGAGTTCTTTGGAACTTTCATCAAGAAAGATGGATAAAACCCCATAGAAGCACACCATTTGCCATACACTCGGTTATACTTATTAACCATTCATTTGGCATCCACCCTTCCCATTTTTAATTGAAGCAAAGAGGCTTCCTGTCTGGCTCTCATACACCATTAACCAAACCAAATGAGAACAAGGATTTTTACAAATATAATGCCTTGAGTGGTCATGACTCCAGTGACCGACCCCAAGCAAAAGTCTCTTTGTCAAGAAATTAGATTTAAAATACATAATCCTGTGTCATGGCATTCGATGTTCTCCAAAAAGCTTCACACTCCAATGTCTTCTCATGAGATCCTGGATGTGTATGTACCTTAACAGTAAGAATCAGTAGGCTAAAGAGGAACAGACAAGTCCCAATCATTCTCAAAATAAACCAATAGACTTTCAACAGCTGCAGGGCTCCAATTCATTAGATGAAGACTGTGTGTAATTTACCATTAGATTAGCTGTTTCTCTCAAGCCAGAAGAAATTCAGTTACAGTGATCTACTGAGCTTTAATTCAATCCCACTTTTAAAACAGTTAAGGACTGGGGATCGTAGCTCAGTGGTAGAGTGTTTGCCTGGCATGCACAAAGTCCTGGGTTCCATATCCAGCTCTTCAAAAAAAATTTAAAAATAATTAAAAACAAGAAGTTTAAAAAAAATCCTTAGCTATCTTTTCAGAGCTGAAGGACAAATGTCTAGGTTTTTTTTTTTTTTAGTTGCTCAATGAAAAAACATTTTAGCAGATATTCAAGCAAAATAAAAGAAAAACAAAAGGGCAAAGTTGACTTTGCTTGAGCTACACTTTGGAGGGTAGCTCCAAATGAACTCCTCTGAGGCCAGAGGCCAGAAGGTGGCAACACAGACATCATGACATCCTAAGAGCCCTGATGATGACTCAAAGAAGCAGCAAACCAGCCAAAGTTTAATTCGGTTTTATTGTCCACTTTTAGTATTTTTCAAATTATACAACATGCAGTCTGCCAGAGTAACCATACATCTTCATTTGAGGACCCAGGAGATAACCAAAATTTTCCACAGGCCAGGGGAGGACCACTTCCAGATCGTTGGTGACTTGTACCATTCCTTCATATAAACTGCCATTCTCCCCCTCAAACCATGAAAACAATGTTGTCCACACTTTTTTAAAATGAAATCTACTGTACAAAATACATAAAGTCCAGAGAACACACATCTGCAGTACACAAGACACTTTACAAACTAGACACGTAATTCTACAGAATGCCCTATTCCCCTTATAGCTGCACACAATGGCAAGTATTTAAAATTGATACACAAATTTTAAGTAAGTAAGCAGACTTCATGGGTTGGTGATTCCTTCAGCAATTACCTGGCCCTTATCCAGTACTTTAGAAAAAAAAAAGCCTAAAGCGTAAGTGTTAAATGAAGCAGTTTTACACTATGATGGTTCCTTTAGCTTGCTCAAGATAATCAGAGTGAGACAATTATCCCTTGCTTTCTGCCAATGAAAAACTTTCCCAATACAGTTTCTTTCTTAGAGTTCAAATGGCGCTTGCTTTTCAGGAGGGAACTGTTAAGGACTTTTACTTGCTATCAGTTATTTCTGCAGGAAAGTAGGGCTAAGTTCCCCCTTGTGTAGCCTTGGTCTTATCTTGGACAGGGGTCTATCACTTCCTTATGGGAACTTGAGGGCTTCAAAAAGTTACTAAATGCTATATTCTAGACAAATATTTTTATTTCTTCATTTATCCCAATATTTCTACAATTGTTTTTCTTAGTCATATTCTTGTAGTTCCTTTAAAGGTCTTTGCCACTTTTTCTGTTCTGTCTGCTACCTGCCGTTCACCAAAAGCAAACTATTCAACATTTGAAAAGATGATACATGCACATAGAATTCTCTAGAAATAGACCAAAATGCATTTGGTATTTTAGGTTCCAACCCAAATCTTGGTGTCTAAAATGGCATTACCCTAATTTAGTAATCCACCACCCTGCAGGTAGAGGTTATTTATATAAATCATCTTGGTAGTTTCTTTCAGCACCAAAGAGTAAACTTTCAAGAAGTAGCGTGAAATATAAAATTATTCAGAAAATACATACATATATGCACTAGCAAAAAGCAGCACACACAAAAAAAATAATCCTGGACTTGATTGTTCAGAAGTGTGCTTCTTACATTTAGAGTATAGGGAGCCATAGTGTTTAAAAAATGAAAATTGCATAAATGTGGCATTTTTAAAAAGTGACCTGAGTATATGGTCCTGCTATAATAACTGGCTTATTATACAAAGTAATATTTAGGAGTCCATTTGAAAAAAGCATATAATGCAGTCCAGTGATCTGCCTACTTTTTAGTCACAGTGTAGGAAAATTAGATTAGAGGTCTTATAAAGATTGAAACTAGGTGAACTGACTGGCTGATCAGCAACTAGCAGAATTATCTTTAAAAGACATCAAAGCTAACTTTCTCTGTGAATAAAAGTACAGTGAAATTTGCAAGGCCCTTCTGGAGATCAAGCAATGTGGAACTACAATGAATGTTTCTTTTTGAAACATGAAAGGCCCAAAATAATCTTCAGAAGTAAAAAAAAAAAAAAAAAAAAAAAAAAGTGCCCAGGGAAAATTACTTTGGAAAGAGTCTAAAATCATATTAATTAAGGCCAAGAAAAGAAAACTAGTATCCTTTGTTCAATTGCAAAACAGAAAGTAATACAGTTGCCCAATCATAGTGTGGTTGATAATTATTTAATTGGCAATCCTTTCAAAGGATTAATCTTTCAAAGAATAAAATTTTAGCTTCCAAAGTCAGAAGCACACATACCAACAGCCAGCTTATAATCAAGGCGTACATTATTACCTGATGAGGTGCGCAATACCTGCCCTACAAGGACTCTCCTATCAGACTACAAGAGGGTCGAGCCCTTATGTTGGGCAGACACTGGCAACACAACAAACAGAATGAAAACATTTAAACAGATGCAAAATTATTATCTATGACATAAATACTTCAATGGAATTCATCCTCTTTTCTCTTCTTACTGCCCCCAAAACAAAACACACATAGACAAGGTGCAACATTTAGCACATAAATTAAGTCACAGCAGTGTTGCTTAGTTAAGGAAATTTTATACAAGAGGAATCTGGAAATGAATGCACACTCCTTATTACTTTACATATGTGCACCTCCTCCCCTTCCCCACATACTCACCCATACCACCTTTGACCCACTCCTCATCCCCCTCCCACAGCCATGAAAAAGTCCAGCTCCTGAGGACAGAGTCAGCTCATACTTTGGGGGATGTACAATGCCAGGATAGGTGATTTCACTGAGACTGGTTGGTTGTCACTAATTTACCCTCAAATTTGGCAAAACAAGTTAGCAGCATACAAGATCGACTGACTTGAATCTCTTTCAGTTTCCCTGAAAGCTTTACTACTTGCAAATCCATCCTTCTAATATGCACAACTGTAAGGAAGTCAGCTTTAGATCCATGTATTTAAATAAAGTAATAGATAAATGTAAAAAAAAAATTCATTTATACTGAATTCTAATTGTGCCTAGAAGACAAAGCCTATTTGGTGCAAAGAAAGAATTCAAATAAACAGTGTGCAGTGATGGGTTAAAAATAACAATTTATCATGGCAACTTATTCATAGACAGGCACAAATCTTGTCAACTACTTTCCCCAAGGGCTTTCTTTTTCAAATGTTGGAATGATACTGGGTTTCTTTAGCAACAACTCTTCAAGTATAAGATGGTTCTCTAGAGAAAGGGGCCATGTCCCATGCAAGCTCCGGAAGAATCAGGGAGGAAGCGAGGAGGGCGGCAGCTCCATCTCCACTCATCCAACTCTGCAGCATTCAGCCCTTGCTTGCGAAAGAATGATGTTTGAACCAACTGGGCCAGTAGAGACAGGTCGCTGCAGGTTCAACCACAAGCAGCGCAGAGGTGAATTTTATCACTTTTTTCATTTACATAGCTGTGTTTGAATGAACAAATTCTACATTGCTACTGTCAGATTGTTTTTCAGCCTTGAGGAAATTTCCTTTGCATTTTAACAGGTGCCGTACTAAAAGGCATATTTTACAGATCCGAAGATGTGACCAGAATATTCAAAAATGCTCCTCTGGGGTAATTTGTTTCGGAAAAGTGTTCAAAATGAAAATTGTGAACCCTATAGCAGCACTTTTTTTGTTCCCTAAAAATATAAAGTAATGTGTTTATTTTACAGGAAACCAGACAGTTGAGGCAGAGTGTGAGATCACCTGCCTCCACGGCACTTGGTTGTTCCCCTCCAGGGAATGGCACAGCAGGGCGTTCAGATGGGACTGTGCACTGCAGAAGAGTGGAGGTTCCAGGGACCACCCAAAGGCCACCCAGTATCTGGAGGCCGAGTCAGTGGTAAGGGTTCTGAGTAGTAATAAGTGGATCTTCTGTAACCATCTCACTCCAGTTTCTCAGAAAGAGAGAAGTCCAAGCACACATCTGTACACACAGAAATTCTACACAGCTCAAAACACCTGAAACTGGTGTACTGCAGATGGCTGGGGGAAGCGAGTGTAAAAGAAAAGGAAACTGGGTGGGGAGGAGGATAAAGGAATTGTGATTAATGTAGTCCTCGACATGCTACGGCAGAGTCGAATCTGTTGAAAAAGAACCAAAGAGAGAACACAGGAGTTAGAGAACACAGCAGAAATTCACCCCTCAGAATTCTGGATGTTCAGATCAGAGCTGTCCAACCCAAACATAATGTCACATATTTAATTTTAATGTTTCCAGTGCCTGAATTAAAATTGAAAATAGATCACATTAATTTTAGTACATTTTACATCACCCAGTAGATTCAAAATGTTATCATTTCAACATGTAATTAAAATGTTATCTGGAGGGATTTCACACAGCTAGCGACTGACATCATGGATAACACAGCATCCTGCGACCTACAATCCTGACACAATCTCAACATTCGCTCCTTAATGTCACTATCTGCTAAACCTATAGATACTCAAATAACACAAGATAACTTCCTATCCCTAAGGGGACAATCAAACAATACTGCTCATTTGCCAAGGCCTGGCACTGCCATACAGGTCAGGCACAGCCCCACCCAGGCTCTCTGGACAGAGATGTCCAATTCTAAAGATGTTTTACCCCCAAGCAGTAATGAAGCTCCCCAGTACAACACCCTCCCCCCCGCCCCGCACCCCGCAACTGCACACACTTTTAAAAGCATTTTAATTAGTGTATGTTAATTTTACAAAGGGTTCTCACTGTTCTGTTTTCATACATGCATATAATGTACTTTGGTCATATTCACCTCCATTATCCTCTCCTCCTCTTTTACATTCATGTCATTTTTTTTCTTTAGTTAAGTCTAGATTCCACACATGAGGGGGAACTTTCGATACTCATCTTTCTGAGTATGGCTTATTTCACTGGACAGGATGATTCCACTCCACTTTCTAAGAGGTTCTCTGGCCTGGGGCAGGTCTCCAAGATGACAGCCTGGATCAGCCCTAACCCAGAGGTCAGCCCTAAGTGGTCTTTTGCAGCCTCTGCCCCAACTACAGTAAGCTCAACTTTCAGAAGACAATGCAAGTTCAGCTTCCGTCCCTACCTGGAGGCCAGGCTCTGCCTAAGAGCTGACCTGTGGGTTTCCAGCAGCACTCATGGAGCTCTGGGAATGAAGTGGTAGAGGACATGATGGGCAGGTGCTGCCTTGTCCTTGAGAAACTAAAGGGATTGCCTGGTATAGGAAATATGACAGACACCAGGAAAAGCCAACTGCAGCACTCCAGTTTAAAAAACTCCCAAACCTGACACCCTGTTCTTCCTGTTTTGCTTCTAGAAGGCTTCTTTCCAAGTCGATGCTCAACTGCGGTTAACGTCTCAGATTCTTGCTATAATGCTCTCTCGCCTTATTTTTTAACTTCTTCACTCTTTGATTTATGTTAAAATATTGTAAGAAACCTCATATATTTTGTATAAATAAGTAGGGTGTAAATTATCTATAAATAGAAAAATGCAGAGTATGGATAGGGGCTATAAAAGTAGACTAGAGCAAAGCAGTTGGAAAGAGAAAAAAAAGTAACACAGAACAGAAATTGAATAGGAAAACAGATATCAGCACATTCTTATTAAGAATACCAACTCCTCCCCAACACAAATAAATACCCAGGGAACTCACTTGGTCACCATCTCTTGCTCCAACAGTATCATCTCCCACAATCACAAAGCTGCCCAATTAAAAGGGGCTTAAACAACCTTACCTGATGCTATTTTTGCCATTGTCAGAAGTCACAGGGAGAAAGATTAGTCTCTGGGAAGGGCACATTTAACATTTAATCTTTCTGCTGAGAGTCTGTGCTTCTGGGTCCAGAAATGAAAAACCTAGAACCATGGTTGTAATTGTAACGGGAATGCCTTTTGAACACCAGCACTGAAATTCCATTTCACTTCTTTGGGTTCAGTTTTCCGAGCACCCTATCCCTGTGGGCAGAGGGGACAGTCTTTTTGCATGCCTGGAGGTAGGGAGGAGCTGGGCACATACTTTATGTTGTGGGATTATGGCTTGACACAATGATTGCAGCCAACCCATGTTGACACAGCAAGCATTAGGCACACAAACTCCACAGCACAGCCTCAATAACTCCAGCAGACCATGAAGTGACACGATTGCCACAGAAGGCTTTCATTCAAATCCCCCATTCCTTCCATGTGCAAGATGTAGCACGTTTGGGCTAACAATCAAAAAGAAATGGGGGCCACAAAGGACACTCAACCTGCTTAGTTAATCACCTCAAAGATGGTGAGACAGAACTGAGATTGTGACTGTTTGCTGAAAGGAAAAGTAGAGGAATAACCAACTCAGGGACCTTTCTTTTCTATGACAAGGTGGGTACTCTTGATCCCAAGTTAAGGACCTGACCATTTTTAGCAGATCAAGAAAAATAGATTCATTAGGAAACTCCCACCCATTCTCCCCATGCTGTCCATCTCCTTTGACAAATTCAGGGAAGAAAATGGATATACATTTTAAAGACAAATGGTTTAGCCCCAAGAGAAACCATTTCTGACTGTTCCCATCCCAGGCTGGGGAATCTGGAGAATATTTAGCACCAGGTTCTGTTGGCTCGCTCACTCTTCAGAAAAGTCACTCACCTAGTGGCAGGGGACTGGACCAAATGACCCTACTAGTGGACTGGCCCTGAGGCTCTGCCAGGCTGGAGATGGTAATTCAGACTGACAATGTGTGACCAGCAACAGGAGGAAATAAAATCACCTTTTATTTCTAATTATATACAAGAGTTTTGCAAGAAGTATTTACAGATTCCAGCCCTCCTCCCCTTTGGCTTTTGTAATTGCCTGCAGTGGATTTAAGTTTAATCCAAACAGTACACAGTTTTATCTTTCTTTTGCCTTTCTACAGTTCAGTCCCCACATTATAAGTACCAGTGGTACTTTACTTATCACTGCTGAATCAATGTGGACTCATCTTGCTGAAGCTCGGGCTCAGTATGCTGTGGAGGAACTGCTCGGAATTTATGACACTGAGAAATACAAAACCCACAAGTGTGAAATACAGCAGCCTATGCACCGGAAACAAAGCCAGGAATTCTTCCTTGTGGGAGCTGCATGAGTCCCCCATTGAATTCAGGGTGCTAGCTGCAAAGTCCTGTGCCTCCATCTTCCCTCCATGGCATCTCCATCCTCTCCTCCTCCCCCACGATCCCACTTCATCTGTTTTTAGGCCTATCCTTACAACCATGTAAGATTAGCCAAAATTTGTAAGAGCCTAATGTTATCAGGTAGTCTTCTAGAACTTCTCTCACATTATTTCCTTCCATTCCCAAACAAGCCTATAATTCTATGCGCCTAACTTCTCCACACCACAGTCTTCTTCACTGTTCAGTGGCCAAAATCATCTCTGAGTGGCCAAGGTCACTCCTCTCCATGTACGTCAGCCAAAGCCACAGAGCACGGACAGAATGCAGAGGCAGCTGGGAGAATCCAGCTGTCCACTGTTAACCCAAACAACAGAGGTAAAACAAAAATGTAAAACTGTACCATTTGGCTAAGTTTTTAAAAAAAAAAACTTATTTTTCCATTAAAGATGGCATTTATAGTAACGTGCAGGCTTATACTTTTTAAATGAACCTGGCAACATTTCATCTTGTTTTAATTTATGATACATATAGACAAATATAACCTACAAATTACTAAAGTCCTTTCATCAAAGGACCATTAAAAGTATAAAGGGAAAAATTTTAAAACCCAACAAGTGTAAAGGGTCCCAAGGTAAAGGAATTTGAGAACGACTACACAGAAGAGGAGGGTTCTTGGTCCAGGACCAACCTCTCACAGGTGCTGATAGGGGATCCTGACAGTTCACCCCTTCTCTCCGGAATACAGAATGAGGAGAGCCAGCCAGACTATGCAGAAATAACAAGCTAGTCCCTCGAGGGCCTGTTCTGTGCCCAGCACTGTCTAAGCTTCATAATGTATGTATGGTGGTAGGTGCTGGCCACATCTTACAGAGGCCCAGAGACACACGTGACTTACCTGGGGTGTAAGAGCCAGGACTCAAATCCAAATCCAGTTTCAGATCCTGAGCCCATAACCACTTAGCCTCCCTACCTGCTAGTCCTCCCTATAAGCACATCCTGGTGATTAATTCAGTAATTGCTAGGATTTTTAAGCATCAAGATGAATGGTCCGGTGGTTTATTGATGAACCACACGTGGCTAACGGATCCCCAAGTGCCAGTGCTGTCTGTGAGGCTCTTAGCCTTGTTACTTCAGAGGCTAAACCTGCCAGCCACTCTTCACTCACCCTCCATGAGTGGCATGAACCCACTTCTGATGAGGACAGAGTCAACGTGTGCATCTTAGGTATATGTAAGTTCTTTTATGTGTGACTGGTATCAAAACTGGGAGAAAAGTCAAGGTGAACCCCAAGAATGATGCAAGACAAATGGAATTCAGGTATTAAAGACAGAGCAAACAAGCAGTAGCAAGATGGAACGACAAAGCTGGGCACCAGTGGCTCACACCTGTAATTCTAGTTACCTGGGAGGCTGAGATCATGAGGATCATGGTTCAAGGCCAGGCCAAGCCAAAAAAAAAAGTTCATGGACCCCATCTTAATAGAAAAAAGCTGGGTATGGTGGTGTGTGTCAGTAATGTCAGTTATGGCAGGAAGCTGAAAATAGGAAGATCACAGTCCAGGCAAGCCTGGGCAAAAAAATGATACCCTATATCCAGAATAACCAGAGCAAAAAGGGCTGGGCCTAGCTTAAGTGGTAGAGCTGCCTTGCAAGTGCCTTGCAAGTGCAAAGTCCTGAGTTCAAACCCCAGTACCACTTAAAAAAAAATGGAAAGACAAGGAGTCAGAGAAGAAAACAGGTGAGAGCATGGTAAGGGAGCGTCTGAGAAATTCAGCTTACACCCCAAGGACATACCAAGGACCAAACAGGAAGGGCCTCACTGAAGTGGTATCCAAGTGCCAGAATGAATAAGAAACTCCATTCTGCTTAGGGTGGAATGAGAAAAGCAGTAGCAGAGGGTGGAGTTCAGAGAAGCATTACACTTTCTCAGTTGAAAGAAAGAGGAGCCAGCAGCCTAATGGACCAAAAGCGGAGAGC